CCATGCCCACACTCTCCTCACCCACCCCATCATGCCCATGCTGTCCCCGTCCATTCCCCGCCATGCCCACGCTGTCCCCATCCACCGCCATGACCGCACTGTCCCCGTCTACCTGCTATGCCCATGCTGTCCCCATTCACCGCCATGACCGCACTGTCCCGGTCTACCTGCTATGCCCATGCTGTCCCCATCCACCACCATGACCGCACTGTCCCCGTCCACTCCACCATGCCCACACTGTCCCTGTCCTCCACCATGACCGCACTGTCCCCGTCCACTCCACCATGCCCACACTGTCCCCGTCCTCCACCATGCCCATGCTGTCCCCATCACTGCCATAACCGCACTGTCCCAGTCCACCTGCCATGCCCACACTGTCCCATCCTCTGCCATGCCCACGCCGCCCCGTCCCCGCCGCGCGCACTCACTCTCCTTGCCCTTCTCCTTGTTCTTGAGCCGCTGCAGCTTCTGCTCGCGCTGCTGCTTCTCCAGCTCCTGCTCCTGCCGGTGCCGCTCCAGCTTGCGCTGGTGCTCCAGCAGCTCCTGCTGGTGCTTCAGGGCCAGCATCTCCTGCTGCTGCTGCACGAGGAGGGACGGAGGTCAGGGCCTGGCCACAGCGGGCGGGCATGACCTTGCTGCCCACGTGGACCCATCGCGTCAGACATCCAGGTGAGACCAGGACGGACCACGGCCTCCCCACCACATGCCCGGAGCCCCTTCCCACCTGCCCCCACACTTCCCGGAGCCTCAACTGACCCACTCCAGCCCCGGGGGAAGGAAGCCGCTCTTTGTGCCCACATGGGACCCATTTCCAGTGCTGGAAACAAACCTAAAAGCCCTAAGGGCGGGCAGTGAACTCAGACGCTGCTCATTTTCATCACCCTGCACACCTGGGAGGCCTTGGTGGCAGAGAGACAAGGTGTGTGAGGAGGCATGGTCACCTGGACCCTGCCTGACACGCAGCTGCCCGTAGACCAGCTTTTGCACTGCTAGGGATGCGCCCGTGGGCTGCGGCTAGGGCTGTGTAACCATCTTCCGGGGACCATCCCTCCCGTGTGAGACACCAATGCGCCAAGACCTTTCCTACCCTCTCATCCCCTCACAGCCTGATGCCGGGGGTGTTCCCCGGCCATGTGGCCGGCATCAGCATCGTCTGACAGTAGACAGAAGGAGAGAGACCAGAGCAGAGAGGGGCTTACGGCCACCAAGAGAAAAGAACAGGGAGGGAGCCCGGGGTCCCTGCGCTGAGAAGCACCTAGACCCAGGGGAAGGCTGATGCGAGAGACGTGGGGCTCGCCAAGGAGCACGGAAAAGACACCAGGCTTGCTCTACGGCAAGGCGGTGATGAGAGACACCCTCCCTCCGAGCGGTCACTCTGAAGATGGCCGCCTAGCCACCTGCTCTGTTAGAGGCCAGAGTGAGGGTGCTAGCGTCCCCCCCTCAATGGCATTGAGGTCACGGCAGTGCTGGATGACGAACACAGTGGCTGGCAGGCCCGGGCAGGGTCCTCCGGAAAGATACGGTCAGAGACAAACGTGGACAAAAACGCACACGCTCAGGGCCGACATCTACCCCCAGTGCCCAACTGAACTTCAGGATGTGCCTGGGAGGGCGTTCCCCTCAAACCTAATCCACAGCTGTGAGGATGGCACAGGACTGGCCAGGTTTCCTCCTGCTGACCGTGGGGTCCCTGAGTCAGAACTGGACTGTGGGGCCTCAGCAGCTCAACAGGGCTGGGACCTGGTGCTGCCAGTGTGATGAAGCAGGGCATGCCAGTGGGCCCAAGAGACTCTGGATTGAGAGAGGGCCAAGGCGTGGGACAGGCCCTTCTACCACGAGACCCCAAAGGTTTCCTCCTAGAAGGCCAGCCTGCTCCCCTTTCTACTCTGAAAACAGAAAAAGTCCCCCATCTGTCCTGCGACCTGCACTCAGCCGGGGTGCTGTGGCCAAGGTGGGGACGACGTGAGCTCATCTCCATGTTCCAGAACCCAGCTGTGCAAGTCACCCCCACCCCTCGCCTGTCAGGACCCTGGAGAGCCTGGGCTTCTGGGTGAGCCAAGAGGCCCCTGGCCCAGCTCCACTTCCTGGAAACCCCAGTTGTGGGGTGCACAGTGACCTGTGACTTTTAATAGGGCCCCTGAACCCCAGGGTGGTGTGCCAGTGGCAAGGACAGTGTGCCTGAGTGGCCTCTGGGAAGTGGGCACTCGCCCAGGTGTGGGTGCAGGGAGACAGTAACCTCAGGCGACCTGGGAGGTCTGGGCCTGCAGCATTCGCTGAGCCACCTGGGACAGGTAATATAGGAAGGAAGTAAACAGCAGGCCCAGGTGCTCAGGCCAGAAACCCAGGTTGTCCATGCTGCCCCTGGCACCGCACAGGAGCACAAAAGGTGTGCCACCCTGGGCTTGGGAGAGGTGGCATTGACCTGCATGAGCACACACCACACTCATACGCACACCCACAAACACACTCACGCACTCACACTCACATGCACACACACAAGCACACGTGCACAGTTACACACATGCTTGCACACACTCGTGCACACCCACAGTTGGCATCGGCCCAGTTCCCACAAACACAGGTGTACTGCACGCAGAACGTGGCTGTTCCTCTCCATCATCGGTGATGGCGGCAGACACATGCCCTCAGTCACACACTGGCTCAGTCTCGTTAGGGCGCCTTTCACGAGAGGACCCCATCCAGAAAGTGGCTTCTGAAGGGCGCCCTGCTGGGCCAGCTCGGGCAGCTCAGAAGGAACCACCAACAGCAGCGGCTAACCCGGACCCTGTCAGGAGGGGCGTCCCACGCACAGGGACCCTGCACAGGGCTCCGGAGGCAGCAAACAGCCTCAGGTGAGCAGATGGCTGGCCCTGGAGCATCTAGCCCCGCCTGCCCCTGATGGTTGGTGCTGCTGTGGCCCTGGGCGCCCCCTGGGGGGAGTGGCCGGATGGCCAAGCCCCGCCCCAGGCCCCGCCCACCTTGATGTGCTCATGCAGCTGGGCCTCGTGCTGCCTGGACAGCTGCTCGTGCTGCCGCTGGAACTCGGCGATGAGGATCTGCCGCTGGATCTGCTGCTTCTGCTTCAGTGCCAGGAGCTCCTGCTGCAGCTGCTGCTCCCTCAGCGTGGGCTCGGCCCCGGGAAGCGCGAACTGCGGGTCCAGGCGCAGGTCCATGGGGACAGCCGCTGGTGCCACCTGCAGGGGCAGAGGCCCGGCCACGTCCACTGCGGGAGAGCCAGGCACGGGGCGGTCAGTGCCAGATCTGCTTCCCCAGAGGCCACATCCCCTGCCTGTATGCGTGTCCCCAATCTCCCACCCCTCAGAGGCCAGGGCCACTAAGCCCAGCACAGAAGGGGCCAGAACTCGAGTGCCCCACCCTCCACACCCCCTGAGGCCATGCCCACTGGGGGAGTGTGGGACACAGGGGTGGTCACTGGTGGAGGCCCCCGTCTCTCCCTGTGAGGTGGCACTCTGCCTTTGGGGGTGCCCAGCATCTATGGGACCCCCTGATTTCTGAGGGGTCCTCTTTGTGCCCCAAATGCACAGCCTAGAGGCCATTAAGGGGCTCCACTTCTTAAGCACAAACACTAGCCCCCTACCAACTTAGAAAGGGCACATCAGAAAAACACCACTCCCCAAAGGGGAAGAACCTGCTTTCTGTGAAGGAGAAGCCCAGGGAAGGGGCCTAGCTGGGGAGACACTGGATCAGGCAGTGGGGAGGCGGGCAGCTGGTCCCACGAGGGTGGCATGCCCCTGGAAGTGGCCCAGGTGGACGGAGGAGGGGAGGCACTGCCGAGGGGAAGTGAGTGCCAGGCTCTGAAAGGTGTTGACGACCTGCAGCCAACCTGACACTCAGTGCGTGCCCACCCAATGTGGAGCAATTAACCGTGATGTGCCCACTGAGCATCCACCAGCTCAGACCCAGACTCCCGGCCCGGCCGCCGTGTGCTCCTCAGGCAATTCTGATGGGCAGCAGGCGTGCCCCGCGGCCACAATCAGGGCTTACGATCCGTGCCAGAGAAACAAGGTGAGCTGTGAATGTGGCTCATACGTGTTCGTGAAAAAGTACCCAGAGACACGCTTGACTGGGGATGCTGCCCCAGGACCAGGAGGCACCAGCCTCGCTGCCCACGTCAGACAGGCCACAGCAGTTATCCCCACCACTGCTGCACCTCTGCCTGTACTGACAGACAGACACCGGAGCTCTCATCAGGGAGAGGACCTCCTTGGGCCTGGGAAATGCTGCCTCCTGGTGGCTGAGGTGTCCGCACACACGGCGCAGGTTGGGGGGTGGGGGGCGGCGGGCTGAAGGCCCCCCTGGGCTGCCCACACAGCTGCGGGCTCAGAGCCACAATCCCCATTCACTCAAGAGCTCAGTGGGTGCGTCAAACTGCACTGGGCCTATTTCTGTCCCAGAAGGAGCTGAAATGCCAGGCCTTCTCTGAAGAAGGGCTGGTGCTTTTGACCCAAGCGCCCCGGAGGACAATAGGAGCTTCTCTGCTGGGAGAGCGCAGCTCAGCACAAGAAAGGGGCATTCTCCCGCCCGCCGTGCTGAGGCCAACCAGGGGCTCAGAGGCGGTGCAGTGGAGCCGGGAGTACAATCAGCCATGACGCTCACGGAGACACAAAGGCCACACTCAGAGGCGAGGGGAGCGGCGGCGAGCCTGCCCTGCAGCGACAAGTCTCCAGGCTCAAACAGAAAACCGGATCATCTCCTTCAGAAACACTGAGGCCGCAGTGACCCTGCGGGTTTCCCATGACGTGGCCCAGGTCCTCGGTCACGGGACCATTCCATGCCGTCCTGCAGACATGGGATTACAAGAGGCCCCGTTCACCACTCAGCCGATGACTCATTCAAACCTGGGGAAAATAATGGGTATTCCAACGCTGAACCACCATTTCCGCCCACGGCGACATTTGCCTGTGTGTGTCCGATTCTGGAAAGACATTGTTTACTTCAATGTGCTCTTTTCTGGGGTGAGGGGGCTCGCGCAGACGGAGGAGCTTCAGGAAGGTCGTGGCATTTCTGCACGAGCTTTGTGAAGGGGGG